ATATACGTACTGTTTGATTTTTCCGGTGTTGAACATGCTTTTACAGATTGGATAATAAAATTAGGAAAGGGTAGAGCATATCCTATTTTAATACTTTCGTATACCCAATCAAGTTTCAAACAGGCTATATCATTTTCCATTGCATACTTTAATTTATCACTCAATGGACCAATTTCAGTAGTTAGAACTACTCGAACCTTTGTTCCATCAAGAGGACCCATGAATATCTGTAAAACATAAATATAACATTACAGCCAACTGCTACATTTTTTACTACTATCATATACATATATATAAAAATTTAACTTACTCCTCCATGTTGTTGTATTAAACATTTAATTTCTTCTTTTTGCCGTCTTTGAATATTTGTTGAAGTAACTATTAGATTCATAAAAACTGGACATTTGTATCTATCAAAAATCTTATCATCAGCCTTAATCACCTCCTTCAAATTTTCTTTCCAGACAGCTTCTATCCATTCTTTCGTCATAACTGGTATTTTCATTTCTATAGCTTTCTATAAATAAAATTTTTAATAAATTAAATTTCTACTGCATTATGTTATATCACAAAATAATGATTTAAATAAATATAGAATAAGATAAAATTTTAACACAATTTCATAAAATATAATTTTAATTTTATACAATAAGATTCTCAATATTTTTAATAAAATTGTTTAAAAATCAATTATATATTATAAATAAATTATATATATTATATATTATAAATGTAATACCTCGTATTTTGCAGACATCACATTATCCGCTACTAAATGTGTGACAGAACTTCTCAATTGCTTTGTGAAGATACCTCCCATATATTCAACTCGTTGTTGTATCCAGTCCTGTAATAGCAATCGAAACTATCATTGTTACAAATAATTAAAGTTTATACAAAATTACTATACCTTAATTTCGGCATCAAAACCTGATGCACAAATGCACATTTTTCTCATGGATGTTGTATAAATTGGGCTCTTTCCTTCTGGTATTGATTCTCCATTTAAAAAACAAATTAGCAGACATTTCGGTGATACTATTCTGCTAAAATATAAATTTGTAATTAAAGATTCTTCATCCAGCTATTTTTAATTACAATCATGATAAGATATATATACCTGTTGCGATAACGTAAACATTAATTAATAATTTATGTTTTAGATTAAAAACTTGTTTACAGCAAAAGAGCTAAGTAAAACAAATAATGTCATTATAATAGAAATTTGTAAGTCAATGTGAACTTATAAGAGATAAACAAGATCATAGATGCTTTCTATTTATAAGATGACACAAGTCAACACAAGTATTATTCTATTTCTTTTTGATTCAGAGATTGACAAAAATAGAACGACACTTGTATCGACTTATGACATCAAATGAAAAGCACTCTATAATGAGACAACCTCAATATTATTATAACTTATGTGTTTATTGTGACTTCTGTACCTAGATAGTTAGCTTGCAAACTTACGAGCATTTAAAGTTCTTCAGTTTCTCAAATACTTCTCCTTTAAATTCCTCTATAACAAATACATCGTTTTTCTGTGGTTCCATGTTATAGCAAACCTGTTCGCTAATCCAAACTGGATGCAAACTAAGTTTATTACATTTCTAGAATAAAACAATAACATGTTTTAAAACCAACAAGAGAAAAAGACGTGACCAAGAAAAGCAAAAGTATTAGAAAACGTAAAATCGCCTCTGTATCTTTCGCATGTCGACTTACAATACTGCTTGAAAAAACGACGAAAAAAACTTTATAACTCTAGCAAAGAAAGGATACGAACATCAAATGTCTGCCACATATTCTCGCTGCAATCATCTTCGGATTTCAGGTGACTCGGTATGACGAAATAAATATTTACATCGCATTCGATTGTGCTCTCCTGAGTCGTCATTCTGAATCCTACTCGATCCTATTCCGAATTGAAATCAACTGAAAATACTGAAATCGTGTGGGCGCAGTCGTCACTCGTCGTCCATGTGCATGCCATGTCCCATGCACGACAAAACAAATGAAAGCAGCTGGAATATTGGCGGGAAGAATGAATATTTAGGCTACACCAACTTACTAACTGAATGAGAAAAATTTACTAGACAATTACACATTCGTATGGTAACTTCAACTAATTTTCAATAAAATGCTTATTACAAAATTTTTTAATACATAATTCTTTGTCACTAGCTTAGAAATTAAAATTTTAAGATATTAGGAAATAAAGATAAAAGGAAAAGAATTAAATAAAGAATTAAAATAATATGTTATTGTAGATATTAAACTCAATTTCGAAATTAGCTTGACAATCAAAGTGTAATCTAAATTAATCAATTAAAATTCTTTTCATATTTTTTAATTCAAGCAGAACTATTGTTCTTGTTAGCGAAATCGTGAATTATTTATTATCTTTATTATCTAACATAATTTCTATTTTATTGAACAATGAAAAATTAATAATTCTACTCATATTATGTAACAAAATGATTTGCACAAGTTGATCATAGTTTGATCGAAGTCGCCCTGAAATACATTTTAAAACTACTTTCGGAACGCAATAGTAAAAGTCACGCACTTGCGCAGTAAACGATTAACGATCGTTTTTTGACAATTTTGTTGAGAACATTCTTTTGAGTCAAAGAATTTTCGAAGTATCAAAATCAATTTCGATTCTTTCAATTTTTAAATTCATTCTCAATATTTTTTCTTTACAAATTCAACATATTTTTTATTGTAATTAAAGAGCAATATTAATCTAGATCCATCAGTCAATTTATTTGAATTTTCATTTTAAACGCGAGAGACATACACAATTCAGATATTACCTGTCATGAAAGCTTTTTTAATTTAAAAAGAAATTTCACAAATTGCTACGATCACAATTGCATTGTATCGAATATGCATTTTCAAAAAATTGTAGATAATTAATTTTTTTCAATGTTACATGTGTGAAATTAGCTCTTTCCAAAATTTCAAAAAATAAACTTTCTGTAACTTATTCGCAATTGTTCATCATTTGCACATGTATGCGCATACTCAGAATTTTCATTTCATTGCTTTTAATAAAAAAGTTCCTTTTTTAAGGATAATTGCAAGTAGCAATTAGGTTACGCTTTAAAGACACTTTATTAGCGTTAAAGACATCATTTGACATCCTTGCTTGAAAATTAACTTAAATCAACATTTTATTTTAAATCAACAATTTATATTCAAATAGCAAAATCTCTAATATACACTTCTTAACTTTTTCAATATATCAAACAAACCTTTTTATTAATTAATTCAACGTTTTTGTTTGTAGTGCTCCCGATTACCGCAGCAACGTTATTTGATTTTAGGCAAAGTTTAAAAATCTCTTTTTCTTTTTTTAAAAAAACCGATAGAGAGACAGAAAGAGAGAGAGTTTTAAGCCACGTTTAAAATTAAAGTAATGTTTGTACAATCAGGCCTTAATAAAATGTTGATTAAGACTCGGTTGCACCAACGTTACTTTTATTTTAAGTAAAATAAAACTCTCTCTATCTCGTTTTAAAACTGAAAAGAGACAGAGGCAAAAAGAATTTACGCCTCGATTAAAATTAAAACGGACCTAATGCCCGTATTCATAGTCAGATCTTTGTACTTTGAACCTGTACTTAAGGCTTTCTTAAATTTATCTTTAGATGCTCAGCAGTCAATGAAATAATTCGTAAAGTATCTAAAAATAAATTTAAGAAAGATTTAAATATATATATATAAGGCCTGACTATGAGTATAAGTTAATCGAAGCTAATTAAAGTCGGTCTTAATTTTATTCTTTCGTTCTTCGTTTTTCCAACGGCATTCAACAAGTGGCACACCGCAAGAATCGGCGGGAACTCGAAATTCCCTAGCCGCAGCGACGTTTGATTGGCCGGTGTCGCGTTATGCGACACGACATTGTCCGCTCGTTAATGCGTTGCTGAACGCGGCTGAGCGAGAGCGCGAGCGAATACTCGACGACGATTGGCCGGTCAGTAGCGCCTGCGAGGGGCATGCGCGTGTACGCGATTTCAAGTTGAGGCTCCTTTGCTTGTCGTGCCAACGCGTTTGCCGAGCGACGCGGTGCGAGCGCGTCGACTGCAACGGAATTTGGACCAACTTAAACGGTGCCTCGAGATCGGTCCAATTCTCTCGTCGCGATAGGAGGAAGTGAATCGCGATCAAGCGTTTCCTCCGTGTTCCTCGGCGTCCGGTCTGACATCCTCCGTGAACTTCTCCGCGAGCCGATTTCAACGGTGTTGTGTACACCTTCACCAGGTGTTGCCAGGTGTTACCAGGTGAACGTGTGCGAGCGTCCGCGTCGCCTTCGCGTTTATCTTCCCTCCCGCGGGGAGGAAGACCTTGGGTGGCGGGGAAGAATTCACTCGTCATACGAACTTTTTACTGTTGACACTGCGGAGGTACCGCGTGTGCGTTTTACGCGAGACCTTCCGCGGAGAGTTCAAACGCGTCGTGTCGTCGAGTGAGAAGCGAGAGTGAAAACTGAACACGGTTGACTACGTTTCGGCTAAGTCTGCGATCGGCGGTTGTATATTTGATTTACAATCAAAAGCGAACGGGAGCGACGGAGACGACGATCGATCTTGATCGATGTGGATCCCTTCCATCGTTAATTCCTGTGGATTCCCTCTCGGACGTCAGTTCTCGCGTGGAAGAGAGAAGAGCGTGGGAAGAAGTGAGAGAGGAAGAAGAAGGGCAGATCGCGAGGAGCGAGCCCGTCTTTAAAGAGAAACACGAAGTCGGCTCGGTGAACGAGCGACCTTTCGAACAAGATACATTCGAGGGCGTAATTTTCATTAACGGTTAAAACCTTTTACATCTCTGATGTTTCTTTTCTTCTTTTCTGATGTTTCTTTCTCCTTGTAAAGAGAGAAGGATGCAAGTCCAACTTGAGTGCAATTCTTCTTAAATTCCCTCGATAAAAGGAGGATTAATGATTAATCGATCTCTCCGTGAAGGCTTGACTCTTGATCGTTGGATCATTGAATTTTTATGCTATTGTAATATTGACCTTCACGGAAATCCATATTGGAAAAAAGAGAAGAAAAAAAGAAGAAGGAAGGCTGACTCCAATCTTATATAATTGAAGGTTTATTCCAGTGGCTAATATCCAGCGATAGTGGAACTTAAGAACCTTGAACGGACGTTTGTACGCCTCGCGCCTCCTTCGAACGTGATCGAGAAGGAACGGAGGGGAAAGAGCATCGGCGAGCATCGCGGAATGCGAGTCGCGAGTGTGCGTGTGACGGGAACGCGGCGCGAATTGCCGCGATTGGCGTAGCCCGTACGCTTCCGGAGCTTCTTACGCGCAACGGTTGCGAGCGAAGGAGGCAGGCTACGACGGTGGAGAAGAAGGCGACGGACGAAGACGAGGAGGGGGAGGGGGAGAAGGGGAGCTAGGGAGTGAGGTCAACGTCGCGCAACGGCGAGGCAAGAGGATGGAGCAGCGGCCGGCGGCGACCTCCGCGAGGACGCGCGGCCTTCTCGCCGGTGTCTGCCTCGTCTGGATCATCGGCGGCATCTGCGCCACCGGTAAATCGACAGTTTTTATTATATTGTCTAAATTCTTTGCTACTTGAAAATTAATTTACTCTCTAAAAAATTTAAAATATAACAGGACGCTTAAGCTTTTCAAAATACGACAATGATAGATATAAAAGGCTAATAAGAATCAGAAACATAAAAAAAATCTCCATTATTCATTTAATATAAGTATAATTGAAAATAGATATAACAAA